AAATCTTTAAACATTGGGAAATGAAAAAAAAAGAAAAAGTCGTCGTGTTTTGTTAAAGGTTGATCAGCTTTATCTATGGAAATGTTCAACTTTGTTGAACTAGCACATGGCAATATATTTATTCCATCATTGTTTGTATCTTTGTCAGGCTGTTGCAAAAAAACCTCAACTGTTTTCTTAGTATATCTATTACCTTGAAAAACTCGTTTAACTTTTCTATTTTTAAAACTTTTATTCTTTGCCATAATAAAACTTTTTTTAACAACTTTAAACTTTTTTCTTTCTGCTTAACAAATAACATCAAAACATACGGCTTTGCTAAAAATAACTCTGGTTCAAAAGTTTAGTTAATTATACAGACCCATGAAAAGAAATAATTGTTTAAATCTAGGTCTTTGGGTAATATATCTATAAAAAATTATTGGTTGCTATGCGGTTGTTAAGTAAATTTTTTTTACTCTTACCAACTAAAACAATTTTTTTACATTTTTTTATTAATTAACCCATATCATGTTATATATGGTTAAAAAGCCAATTAAATTTTAAACAAAGTTGGCTGATAAACTAAAAAACACATTTTTTCACAAAAATCGCTATTTTTTTACCTGATAACCACCTTAACATCGTGCCAATTTTAAAGCAATTGAAGATAAAATGGTGGAAGTTTTTTAAGTTTTGTGGGATTAGTTTAAAATATTTGTATATTTTGGTTCCATTTCCTATGAGAGTTTATGATGTGAAACATTGCGTTCTTCCACGGGCCTTCCAAACTTTAATTATGTAATTTGGAGACCCATTGCATTTGGATTGCCTTAAGTTTGTTTATCAAACTGACACCTCCAACTCCACCATTTTTTATTTTTTTGTTGTGTTGTTTGTTTGTTCAGGTTGGGTATTTTCCTGCCCTTAAAAAGTTGTTTAGTTTTGTTTCCATTTTGCTTAAAACTACATCATTTGGGAGGAGTGTTATATAGGTGTGTTATTTGTGGGATTATCAAAGAGTTAATAATGATTTTCCTTTCTTTTAATGAAAGTTTATGTTTACTCCGTTTGTTTAGGGTATTATCCATTTTCTGGAATCGGTCCCTCCAGTGGGTGAAGTCAGAGAAACTGCCTAAAGCTGAGAAAGTGATACTAAAGCTCTTGAACAATGATTCCCCCCATTCAAAATTTAGTAATGGTCCCTTATCTTTGAATCTATTTTCTCCTACTCGTAAACCTTGGCATTTGGCTAGGTTTATTTTAGCGCCTGTGGCTTTTTTGTCTAGTTTTAAGGCTTGTCCTACCACTTTTATAGATATTAGAAATGCTGATAATATATCTAGCGTAACTTAAATTTTCGTTTATTGTTTTGTTTTTGATCGAGGCCGATTGGTTACAATTATTAATTTTTGGTAAAACTTTGTCCAATCTATTGGCTAAAGTTATAGTTAAAGTTTTATAGTCTACATTAGTCAGAGATATAGGTCTCCAGTTACTAATTTCATTTTTATTTCCTTTTTTGTAAAAACATGTAATTAACGCTTCTCTTTGTAAGGGCGTCATTTCACCAGTATTCAGCACGTTATTTAACGTGTCTTTTAGGTCATTTTTTATCAGTTCGAAGAATATTTTATAGTATTCTATTGTTATTGTTTCTTATTTTATAGTATTCTGTGCCTATTATTTCGATTTTGTGTGGTAATTCTTTTACTACTTTCGTTAGATTAACTAAAGAGTTTCCGTACATCTTCTATGGTTCTGTCAAAATCATATGTTGCTTGTTTAATTGAATTAATATTTTTTATGTGTGGTTGAAGCACGTTATTTAACGTGTCTTTTGGGTCATTTTTTATCAGTTCGAAGAATATTTTAAAGTATTCTATTGTTAAGCCGTCTGATTTATTTAATTTCGTATTCTGATAGTTCTTTTTCTAATTGTATATTATCTTCTTTAGTGACTTTATTAACTTTAGAGTTAATTAAAAGAAATTCCTGGGAATCATTTTTTTTTTTTTAATTTTTGTATAGATTTTTATAGAAATCTTTGAATTCATATTGGATGTCTTTAGATGTATTTTTTCTCCATTTTTGTCGTTTATTTCTGAAACGTATTGTTTTAATAGTTCGTTTTTCTCTAAACCGAAAAATAATTTTGTACATTTCTTTCCCTCTAATCGCCATTGAACTTTTGCTCTTATAGCGCCCCTTCGGCTTTTACTTTTTCAATTAATTCTAGTTTTGTTTTAATGTCTTTATATAAAATTTTCATTTTTTTATATGAGTGCGTATTCTTGGATGCACTTTTTAGAAGTTTTTTTAGTTTATATTCTTTTTTATTTTTATTTTGATTCAGTTTTTTGCTAAATTTTGTAGAAGCTTGTTTTATTTTTTCTTTTCCGGCTTCCCACCATTTTTTTATGTTTGTAAAATTTTGCTTATATTGTCTCCATTCTTTCCAGGTCGTTTCTATTAAAGTTTTATATTCTTTGTTTTATAGGAGCGCGTTATTTAATATCCACGCTCCTTTTCCCAAAGTTATTTTATTATTCGTTATTTCTACAACTTGAGAATTATATAGATCTGTTAATATTGTTGGTTCAAAACAGTTTCTTTTATTTTATCTACATATTTTACTTATATAGAAACGATCTAGCCTTAAGTAGGAAACTCCATTAGCGGACGCAAAAGTATATTCATTTGCATTCGGATTAAATACTCTCCGTGTGTCTTCTATTTCTAGAATATTTAGTAGAGTTTTTAAAACCTTTTTGAGGAACATTCTTTTTTATTCGAGAAAGGATATCTGTCTTTAAATGAAAGAGTTCTATTAAAATCCCATCTCATGATAATAATAAAGTCGTTGAGTTCTTTATTGTGGAATATATTTGTTAATTCAACATATAATTTTTGCTTAGAGATTGCGTGTTTCCGCCTCAGGTAGCGTATATACCTAAGATTAAATAGTTTATTTTTATTGCTATAAAATTGTTACACCCACATGTATCGTTTCTTCAAAATATCATGTGTTCGTGGCGCCTTTTAAATAGAATTTCGGTTCCACGGGTTTTCGAATTTCCAGGAGAGAAAAAAAAATATATCTCTATTCCATTCATTTGCTAATATATTTATTTTATTATCTAAATGGGTTTCTTGTATTTATGATATATCGTGTTTTTAAAAGAATTTATAATTGTTTTTCTCCTACTTAAATTGTTTAAACCATTAGCATTTGAAGTTAAAAACTTATTTTCTTCATTTTAATACGTTTAAACACATTTTTATTTATTTATTTCTTTTCATTTTTAAGGAAAATACTTTCTTTAAATCTCAAAGAAAAAATATTGTGCTAATGTTTTGTATTTCTTTCCTAAATCACGGGAAAGCTTTCTATTGGAGCACAAAGTCAGATAATGTATCGTGTGAAAAATAGTCAACAATATATAAACTATAAATAATATATAATGCAATATTAAATGTAGCAAATAATAAAAAAGGCACATACCACGGTATTTTCTGCGTACATAAAATTTTTCTGGTGTTGTACATAAAATTTTTCTGGTACATAAAATTTTTCGTACATAAAATGTACATAAAATGTTTCGTACATAAAATGTACATAAAACTTCGTACATAAAATCGTACATAAAATTTTTCTGGTGTTGGAGGTTGCGTCATTCCTTTTTGGTGTTTCTCTTACTTTCTTTTAAATTTTCTCAGGGAGACAAATATCTATTTGGTCGTCGTCTAGGACAACAAATTTAGGAATTTTTTTGCTTACATATTTTGAGTTTTTTACTTCTCCTTTTGGTTCTATTTCGCGTTCTTGTTGTCTTTTAATTTCCGTTGGGATCGTTGTTGGCATGGTTGTTTTGAGTTTATATTTTTAATGTGTGGTTTAAGTTGTTGGGATAGTTTTTCATCTGTTATAATCGGGTCGCATTTGATTGTTATCAGGTTACCAAAATCTTCCCTTTTTCTGAAATATATCGGTTTGTTAGATTCGGTCAATTCGTTTTCTGAACGAGCGATGTTTGGATCGTTTATGTTTCTGAAAACTGCAATCCTGTTTCCATCTCTATGGTAGGTTAGGTTCTCAATTTTTCCTTTTTCAATTTTTTTAGCAATCCGTTCTGAGATTTCTTGAGCATTTTCGGTAATGTACGTCGGATTACTAATCGATTCTTGTTTTAAACTCTACAATTCTTTCAGATCAATATGTATATAGTTTGGTTGCATGAGCATATGAAAGCGTTATGTCCAAAAGTTAAAATAAAAAATAATCTTAACACTTCAAAAAATCTTTTACTCGATTCGCATTCAAATAACTTTCAGAGAGCTGAATTAGTCTTAAAGACGCACACTACAGAAATTGTGACGCATGAAATCATGACGCATATTATAGAAATGACCCTATCAAGTCAACTTTACTGTAATAAATGTACCAATTTTTTGTTTTCTGTTTTAATTGTGGGTTTATAATTACAATGTTTAATTTTTCTTAAGCCTCTCATTTCTAAGATTATGTTCTTTTAATTTAAGAAGTATGTTGTTTTTGTCAAAGTTGATTTTAAAAATTAATGTTATGATATGGTTGTAAACTTTGTATAAAAGTTATAATTTCTATATGCGTAATGATGTTTTTAAGGATATTTCAAATTTGATTAAAAATTTTTGATTTAATTTTATTTGAAGATTCCCTCATTTATCATTGATGAATTTTCCGGAAATTCCCGGAATTCCGGAAATTCACATAAAACACCTTTAATTTTTCCAGGATTTTCCAGATGTTTTTTTGATATTAATTTGATAAAAAATTAATATATTTTTACATTAAATTTTACATACGACAACTTTTGCATTTAAACAAATGTGTTTTCTATTATTAAAATTTTTACAAGATCGATTTTTGTAACAATTTTTTTTCTTCATTTTTTTTTTTGCTTTTTAATTAATTCAAACTTTTTCGAATATTAGAAATTCCTTTTTGTAAAAAATTAATTAGTATAAATTCCGTTTTAAAATAATCTAAATTCCGTTTGTCAGTTAAATGCGATCAATTTTTTATAAAACATTGATGTCTAATAACATCTGTCTGATGTCTAATAACATTAATTTTCCGGGATTTTTTCCGGGATTATCAAAGAAAAAAATTTCCGGGATTAAAGTCAAATACTCATCTATGATTTATGCTTTCCTGATATTAGAGACTGCGTTGGTTCCTTTTAGCTCGTTTCAGAACTTTGGTCGATTCTTCCGCTTCGAGTTTACATTTTTTAATGTGCATTTTAATTTTTGTAATAATTCTTTGTGTGTGATAATCGGATCACATTTAATTGTAATTAAGAAGCCAAAATCTTCTCTTTTGCTTAAATATATTGGTTTTTGCGACTCAGCTAAGTTTATTTCCGGTCGGGCAATGGTGTTTCATCGTTAGTATTTCTAAATACGACAATCCAGTTTCCATTTATATGGTAGTCAGAATCTCAATATTTGTCTTTCCAATTTTTCAGAAATTTCTTGTGCATTTTTAGTTATGAACCTCGGATCCTCGAATCCCTGTTTGAGTATTTAAAAAACTAAATAAAATCAATGGTATTTTTACAAATGTTAGCGAAAAACACTTTTATGCAATACTGATTTAAAAAAAGTTTATAATACCTTATATGCTTTATCAGATGCATGAGCACAAACGTAGCTTAAATTAAATTAAAAAAAAAAACGTAGTCTAAAATTAAATTAAAAAATACAAATACAAATATGATTACAACATATATTTCTATTTAAAAGAGAAAATTACCGTTAACATATGGCTCTATCTTCCCCTATTTTTTTATCATATATGTGATTGTTTATAATTTCGTTGAATGAAATCCAGGCGATAAACTTATTGTTTTTGTTTTTGCTCCCATATGATAGCTGTTGAGTTATCAGCTATTCGTTGTCGATTGTCTTTATTAATAGCTAATAAAAATTAAAAATGAGAAAAAAACTATAAAAATAATAGTAAGCAACAAAAATTCTGGTTTATTGCTACAAAAGGTAAACCAGAAACAAAAATTAAGAAAAATTTTATTTAACAGTTATATATTAAAAGTAATGTTAATAGTAAAATATGACATAGCCATCAAAAAACACATGGTTCAAAAAATTTTTAGAATTAACAAGATAAGTTAAAAACTTTTAAAAATCATTCAAAATATGTTTACGTATAATTTTGATATTGCATGCTTGTTTATTTATTATATAAACAAGCAAATGGAGTAAGCATTAATTTTATTAGAGTTTTAATTTGTTTATTAATTTTGATATTCTATAGTAATACTATAGATTTATTTGGATTTTATCGATTTATTAATTAGATACTTTAGACTTTAGATATTTAATTATTATTAAATACTATTGATAGTAGCAGTAAGCATTTGCTTGGATTTCTATTTCAATTTTTAATTTATTTAGATTTAGATTATTAAAAAAGTTAACAATTAATCGTAATCCAGTTGTTGAACGAATGAATATAATGAGATTTATATATCATATAGTATATATTCATATACATATATATATATATATATATATATATATATATATATATATATATATATATATATATATATATATATATAAAATGTTATAATAAAAATTCCAGCAAACTTTGATTTTCAAACTTTATTCCATTATTATTATTATATATTCATATACATATATATATATATATATATATATATATATATATATATATATATATATATATATATATATATATATATACATAAAATGTTATAATAAAAATTCCAGCAAACTTTGATTTTCAAACTTTATTCCATTATTATTATTATATATTCATATACATATATATATATATATATATATATATATATATATATATATATATATATATAAAATATATATATATATATATATATATATATATATATATATATATATATATATATATATATATACATAAAATGTAATAATAAAAATTCCAGCAAACTTTGATTTCAAACAATATACCTTTTTCTGCTAATGTATTTCTCATCATCTTTAGCTTTTTTCTCGATGTGACCACACATCGAGAAAAACGAAAAAAGTTTTATTTTACTATAATGGAATGTGGAAATGAAAGTACCATATTTGTAACTTTCAATAATGAACCAAGTTCCGCAAGATTCTTAAAAAGCATTTCATGACAGTTTAGTAAAATCATGTTTTTTTTTGCTCAAACTTTTAACCAAAGATTCAACGGATGTTACAGTTATTTTCGTTCGGCGCGATTTTTGTAGGACAATTGTTTTTTTAAAATTAATAACTTTTTAATGGCTAATTTAAGAACTCCTATTTAACTCGACATAGCTTCAACTGCATTCATCGAATGTTGAACTGCATTCATCCGTCGTTGATTCTTTATGTTTATTGTTTACTTCTGTTTGTATATTGGTATTTACAAGAGGTGGTTTACGAAATTTTGTTACCTATAACAATATACATTATTACACAATATATAACAATATATATATATATATATATATATATATATATATATATATATATATATATATATATATATATATATATGTATATATATACATATATATATATATATATATATATATATATATATATATATATATATATATATATATATATATATATATATATATGCATACATGGTTTTTTCTTTCTAAAAAAGTAGTACTAGTACTAAGCCTCAAAATCATAAGAAACTTTTAGTAATAATTTAATTTTCAATAAGAAACTTATTCAAGAGTTTGAGGAATATTTTGGATTTGCAATTGAATGCAATTCTGTTTGATTGCGAATGAAAAACTGAAATTTGAGAAACATTGAGTGAGAATCATTGAATACTAGGTTAAGAAAATAAAGTCTTACCATTAGAATAAGAAACTTTCTAATATTAATCTATTTGCTTGGGTTCTTATAAAAAACAACTATATATTTCAACCTAATGGTTCCTTAGGCTATTATATTCACTATATGAAGCCTAAGGAACCATTGGGTTGTGTTACACTTACATTGCTTTACTAATGATTCATACAGAAATTTGTAAGCTGTTAACCTTTAAATATGTTACAAGCCTCAGGCATTTTGCATAGGGTAATTAAGAATCAAAAGGCGCATACTGATATAAATTTGTATCTTATTATACTACAATATTATATATACTACTATAGCAATATTATATTACTATATAATATTATATATTCTATGTTTTATACCCATCGTATATGCATATATATATATATATATCTTCTAATTTATTTTTAGTTATATATACATATATATATATATATATATATATATATATATATATATATATATATATATATATACATATTTTTTTTCTAATTTATTTTTAGTTATATATACATATATATATATATATATATATATATATATATATATATATCTTCTAATTTATTTTTAGTTATATAAATATATATATATATATATATATATTTATATATATATATATATATATATATATATATATATATATATATATATATATATATATATATATATATATATATATATATATATGTACATATATATATATATATCTTCTAATTTATTTTTAGTTTTATATACATATATATATATATATATATATATATATAAATCTTCTAATTTATTTTTAGTTATATATATATATATATATATATATTCTAATTTATTTTTAGTTATATATACATATATATATATATATATATATATATATATATATATATATATATATTTATATATATATATATTTATATATATATATATCTTCTATCTGTAATGACTCGTAAAATACGGGTCTTTAGGATATTGATGCACACTTTATCCGCGTGCTTACAGTTTGGAAGAACTATTATCCGGTTTATAACCCAAGAAAATCTCAATCAAATGAAAACATCTAAATGATAACTTTTAATGTCCTAGCATTTTGCATAGGGTAATTAAGAATCAAAAGGCGCATACTGATATAAATTTGTATCTTATTATACTACAATATTATATATACTACTATAGCAATATTATATTACTATATAATATTATATATTCTATGTTTTATTCCCATCGTATATGCATATATATATATATATATCTTTTAATTTATTTTTAGTTATATATACATATATATATATATATATATATATTTTTTTTTTTTTCTAATTTATTTTTAGTTATATATACATATATATATATACATATATATATATCTTCTTATTTATTTTTAGTTATATAAATATATATATATATATATATATATATATATATATATATATGTACATATATATATATATCTTCTAATTTATTTTTAGTTATATATACATATATATATATATATATATATATATATATATATATATATATATATATATATATATATATATAAATCTTCTAATTTATTTTTAGATATATATATATATATATATATATATATATATATATATATATATATATATATCTTCTAATTCATTTTTAGTTATATATATATATATATATATATATATATATTTATATATATATATCTTCTATATTTTATATATATATATATATATATATATATTTATATATATATATCTTCTAATTTATTTTTAGTTATATATATATATATATATTTATATATATATATATCTTCTATCTGTAATGACTCGTAAAATACGGGTCTTTAGGATATTGATGCACACTTTATCCGCGTGCTTACAGTTCAGAAGAACTATTATCCGGTTTATAACCCAAGAAAATCTCAATTAAATGAAAACATCTAAATGATAACTTTTAATGTCCTAGATACGAAGATTAAACTTATTGATTGCGTAAACACTAACTTTAACATAAATGGCATTTGCGAGACACTTCTTGCAACTTATGTCAAAATTTAATGGTGACTCTAAAATCCTAAAGGATAGGGGGAGACGCTTTTTTTGAGAAAATATTTATACCCACTCTAAACATACCAAGCCACACCAACCCTCGTTTATTAATCTTTACTTATCAAGTCTCCTTAAAAATAACAATTGAACATAGGCATTTTCCCTTAAATTCTAAAATATTTCAATTAAAACTGAGAAAATTGTTTTTATTTCAATAAGTGATAAAAACAGAAACTTTCATTGTAGAATCAGTTTTAAAAGTCATCGACCTAGTAAATCTGGATTTGTCGAAAATGGGCTTTATTTCTCACTAAATCTAAATTTTATTTTAGCATCACTAAAATTTATATTAGCATTTCACTATTAGCTCACTAAAATTTATATTAACATTTCAAATTTCAAATATTTAAATTAAAACAGATTTTTTAAAATGTTGATTTGACTTTGAGCCACGTTTTAACTAAATTGCGTTATGGTGCTTTGTAAAAAGTATTAGTTAAAATTTTATATTCAACTTACATTCACACCCCATTTCATATATTAGATTTGGACTAAAATTCCTACAGGACCCTTTTTGAAAAAAACTACAGTAAAAAGAGGATTTTTACCATTTATTAAACTATATCAAACTTACGAGGCAAAAAAATTCTTTACTTGTTCCGTAACAAAAACTTGTTTTTAGCACAAATTAGTGACAAAATTTTGCAAGCAAAAATCAAGGGGAGAGGGTGTTAAGAAATGGTGTTAAGAAAATAAAAACTATCGTTATCGTTGTTGCTTTTTATAGCTATATTACTATTAAGCCAGAATTGTAAAATTGAGGAAAAAGAAATCTTTATTTAACTTCAAAATTTCAAATGTTTTATGTAAAAGTTTTTAAATTTTTAAAAATGTTTTTATAAACAAATATAAACAACAAATTTTTTTTGTGTGAATATATTTGATTTAATGTTAAAGACTTCACAACTTGGTTCGTTGCAAAATCACTTCACTGAATCGAAATAGACAGTCTTTAAGAAACAACTACGTAGTTATTATTACAATATTTATTAACAATCAACGATGAAATGTAATTCCAAAAAAAAAAAAGTAATTAAGGTATATAATAAAATTGGCTGTGTTGTTATTTGTCAAAATGTATTGTCTCTAGTAGTAAAAAAAAAAGTAATAATTTATTAATTAGGAATATTTGTAAATACAACATTTTGTGTGTAAAATTTGTTTAATGACACACCTTGTAATGAATGTTTATCAACTTTAAAAATTAAACTATTAAACGATCTTGTTCTTGAACATGCAACATATAATTGACCGTGTGAAAAGCAAGGTTTTTTAAGATAAACTCCAACTTTGTCAAAAGTTTGACCTTGACTTTTGTTTATGGTCATTAAGTATGCTAACCTAACTGGAAACTGACGACGTTTGAGTATAAAAGGTAAATTTGAATCCGATGGAGCTAATTGAACTCGAGGAACAAAGATCCTGTTACCAGCTGCTACCCCTGTTAGAAGCTATCCATCAATATAATTGTTGTGCAGTGCACGTACCATCAAACGTGTTCCATTACAAAGTCCGCCTTTAAGATCTAAATTTCTAATTAGCATTACAACAGCACCAATTTTTAATTTTAGGCAATGAACAGGCATACCTGATGGAGTCAAACTATTTAAAAACTCGACTGGAAAATTATAAATTTCATTATGATCATCAGTTTCAATGCTATCTGAACTTAAGTAAATTTTAGTATCACCAGGTAATCGATCAAGGACTTCTTCATTTATTGCCAATAAATCAATATTTGTTGGTGTTAAAATAGCACAATTAGCATAATCAGCTTCCTCTGTGCCACCAAAAATCTTTTCCGCAATAAATTCGTTATCGTTTACAAAGCACTGCTCAGGTATTTCAATACACCCTCGCAAAGGATCTTCAGGCTTGACAGGTAAAGTTCCACTTCCAAGCTTTAGAAGCCATTGAGAAAATTCCTCTTCTCCTATCTGAACCCTCATATTTTCAGTTAATGAAAACCTTTGCACATACTGCCAATGTTCAGAACATTTTAAACATGGTTCTACAACTTCAGCTGGTCGACCTCTTTTCACAACTGGAAGTATTTGTCTAAAATCTCCACCCATAAGAATAACTTTACCACCAAAAGGAAAGTTATTATTACAAATTTCTTGCAATAACTTATCAATGGCACTTAAAGCATGTTTAGGAATCATAGATGCTTTATCAAGTAAAAACAAACTTACTTGTCTAAGGAAATCACCATGAATATAATTTAGAGTTTCATTACATGTGCTATTTTCCAAAATTGGCACAGGAAGTTTGAATAAGCCATACAGTGTGCATCCATTTTTAAGAAGAGTTGCAGCTATTCCTGTCCATGCAGCTGTTGCAGTTCTAATATGTCTGATGCGTGTTTCAGTGATTAAATAATTGTAAGTAAATGTTTTACCACAACCAGCAAGCCCATCCATAAAAAACAATCTTGAATGCTTATTTTCATTATTAGGTTCTTCATTAAGTGCAGCAAGGATTGCATCAGCTACATTACGCTGATTATCATTTAATAATGGTCTAACTCGATTTGCTTCATCAATAAATACCTGTACATCTTCATCATCATTTTCTGGGATAGAATCTAAAAACTGATCTAAAGTAGGCAAATTATAATCAGCTAAAGTTTTACCACTCTGATTAATTATAAATTCAATTTGACAAAGTGCTACTTGTTCAGCAAGTAGGACTGGAATTGAACGGTGTATGTAATCCTCCACCATATAATCTTTAAAGGTATTCCATAGGTGTAAAGGATCACCAGGTTGCCATAATGTTAATATGATGGAAAACAGTTGCCTAATTTGTTTAGGCAATCCAGTTGCAACAGCCTCAGTTAATGTATTTCTCCATTCAATGTCATCTTGCAACAAATCTAACTGATAACACGCTTTACGAAATGTATTAAAAACAGTACCATTCACAGTGCGCAAATTCTCGTAAGATAATGCACCTTTTACATGCAAAAGCAACAATCTAAGAAAAAATACTTCACTGGATAGATTGACTTTATACATTCGCACTATCACAATATCACTACCTCTTTGTCTTACTTTCCACTTGCAATTTTTACCATCAAACACAAAGTGATATGGAATTTCAATATAAGAATAGCGACGTGCTTCAAAATTTTCAGAATTTAATTTAAACCAAGCAGTTAGGTGAGTGTCACGCTGTGCTGTACGATTAATAGCACTTGTTCTTCTTCCTCGTTAAAATATAGTATCTAATTATCAGGAAGGTGTACTTGAAGGCGAATAATGGTATGTGACATATCACTTATGGAATACTCATATATTCGCCAAAGAGCCTCTTGTGCAGAAACAAAGCGCAGTCTAAATATGTGTTAATTTCATCATGATGAACACTTTCATTAATTACCACATTAGCACAATCATGCCCCTTATATATATATTTGTATAAATACTTAACTGACTTAATGGACATGCAAGCCTCAACTTTAATGTGGGCTTGGTATTTTTTCGATAAGCAGGGGTTATAGGGTACAAACCATCGATTATCAACTTGGTTACCTCTTATAACAACTACTCTACCATTATCTAAACGCCTATAGTGTGGATAGCCATTGAAAGTTGCAACAGTATAAAGATTGAAATCATTAGGAAAACCTTTTGTGCAAACCCCATCCTTCATGCACGATGAATTGGGATTTAAAATTCCGCATGGTCCATGAATCATACATGTTTTTACAATTTCAAAAAGTTCAGGATCAACAGTTTGATCTGGAATTTCAGCTGATATTAAACTTCCAACATATGAAGATGGCAGTACAACAATACGCCCTGGTCTTATGTTACGATTATTTGCAAAGTTGTTTACAAAATCATGTAATGTATCATATTGTTCACTTCTAAGTTTGCTTTGGTTATTTCTGATGAAGGCAAGGCGTTGTCCTTCAATCTTGACATATGCATCAACAGCATATTGTTGAAAAAGCTTCCTACCATAAAATATAGGGCTAAAGGTTTCTCTTACAGATAGCCTATAATTGTAGTACTGAGACAAAGTAACATGATTTCTAACACGTGTTGCTCTGTCTGGATTGTGCTCTAGTTGATCATGCCATCCTGCATCGCCTCCTGGGAAAAAAAATTGGATATATCATTGGATCTAGATTAGCAGACATACTTGATATTTTTTTCAAGGTCTGACCTCGAGGGTGTATAACAACTTCTCTAGATGGAGGTGGAGCACCATCGTCTCCTACAAACACAATGGCAACTTCATTGTGTGAAGGTAGATTGTATCGACGCCTATCGCGACCTTCAAGCAATGACATTTTGACAACTGAAATTGGGTGACCTTCTAAAGCTGCTTGACGCATTTCTTCATCTTCAACTTGTGCCATATTTTTGAAAGCAAAAGCATATGGATTCTGTTGACTAATTATAGTCTGTAAAAGTTCCATTAACTCCCGTATGCAACATTAGAAAAATTAAGGCAGTATTGGGATCATAAACATATAAATGACAATAAGATGGTGAAACATTTTGATCAGGTCTCAGATTACCAACACGGTGCATAATTTGTCCACAATTCCTAAAACATGGTGGGCCATGATTCGAGGGAGGAGCTATTCCAGCTTCAAATGAAACAAAAGATAGACAGGCATTATAATTTCGAATGTGATTAAAGAAATTTTTATTTAAAGCACGATCAACATGGTTGCCTTTCATTAAATCCATCATTAGTGGTGGATAAGGTGAAAGCGGAGCTAACACAACTTTTCCTGAATGGCAGCACAAAAAATGTGTTTCATTTAAAAACTTTTTAGCACCACAATATTGACAAATATGGTTCATTTCTCCAAGGTAACTTCTCTCTATAATATTATTATTTCTTGCTATGCAATGCATTCCACACCTAAGTAATGCACGCCTAGCTTCATTTTCATTTTGGCGACGATTCACTTTCATTTTGGCGACGATTAAGTTCTTCTCGCCTAGTCGCATTTCTTTCATTTTGGCGACGATTAAGTTCTTCTCGCCTAGTCGCATTTCTTTCGTTTTGGCAACGATTAATTTCTTCTCGCCTTGCCATGTTTCTTTCATTTTGGCAAGTTCTCCTAATTTCAGCTCTTAAGTTATTTGACATGATAAAGCAACTATGTTTAGTTTGATAAAACTTGATATGTTTAATTTTTGCTATACTTATCTAAAATGAACGAACATAATGAAAGACATAACAAACATAATGAAAGACAATTAATTTATCAATCTAAACTATGTATCTAAACATATCTACATCGTCGGCTCGGGATGCAATTGTCCTATCGCAAATTTATTAAAGTTATATATAAATATGTAATTATCTAATATATGTAAATTTAACATCATATATTAATGAAAAAAGTTTTTTTTTAAACGTTATATTAAATAATTTATATTAAATAATTTTTTACATTTACTTAACTTTTAACTTACATAAATTACGTTATTACATTATTACAATTTTAATAAATTTGCGATACGCAATTGCATCGCGAGCATTACAATTTTAATAAATTTGCGATACGACAATTGCATCGCGAGCCAATATATATATATATAATATATATATATATATATATATATATATATATATATATATATATATATATATATATATATATATATATATATATATATATATATATATATATATATATATATATATATATGTAAATATATATATATATATATACATATATATATATATATATATATATATATATATATATATATATTATATATATATATATATATATATATATATATATATATATATATATATATATATAACTTTATCTATATCTATCTATCTATATATATAGATATATATAGGCATACACTTAACTGGTTTAGAAAAGAAATATACATAGAAGCTGAGTTTAGGCTTAAATACTACATGTTGTATTGTAAGTAGTAAGACAAATAAAACATTTTATAAAAAAAATAAAAAAAATGATAGTAGTTTAAAAATATTTATAACTGAATATTAAAAAGTGAAAACTATTTTGTAATATATATATATATATATATATATATATATATATATATATATATATATATATATATATATATATATATATATATATATATATATAATTATAAATTTTAAAATTCAAAAAAAGAAAAAATACTGGGAAAAGAAAAACACAGGAAAAGGTACCAAGTCGTAGTTTTCAGATTCGGAGGTATACGCGTTGCAACTACCTTTTTTATCTTTTTTCAAGCAGTTTTAATATTTAGTAATAGTTTTTTTTAAATAAATAATGAAAATATACATTAACTTTTTTGCTATGTTAATTTACACAGTTTTAAATTGTCAAATTTTAAAGTCTTTTTACTGTAATTTCATTTTAAAACACTTCCATGAAAAACTATGTAGAACTTTTAAAAATGATGCTATCAAGCTAATTTTTGTTTTATTTTGTGACTTCCTGACTCTATGCAACTGTATCAGTAACTCAGAAGATTGGTACTTTTTACTGTAAGGCACCCATATGTTAAATAAAAAAGTCATTAACGCCTTTATTGTTTAAAATCATTTCCAACATTGGCAAAATTTATCTTAGGAAGGGTAAAGAAAAACAACAGTGCTTATTGTAAAATTTTATCTTATTTATTTGTATAATTTGTATAATTAATTATAATTATAATTATACGTAACACCCCCTCCCACCCCCTCCCCTTTCTTCTCCTTCACCCCAAACGAAAAGAGGGGAGATCTGCCCCATTAATTGAGACCCATATCCTATGGGCCCTGTAGGATATGGGTCCTGGTTGATTCCTCCTGTAGGCTATAAAAGCCTCATATCACAAATCTAAAATGATAAAAGTAACAAAATGAATCTTATACAATATTAAATAAACAAATTTGAATCTTATACATTATAAAAAAATAAAAAAGAAATTAAGAATTTAAAAAAATAAGTAAACATCACATTTTACAGTTACATAATAATAACACAGTATTCATACTAATGAAATATAAAACTAAAAATTAACTTACCAGCAGCAGCTGCACTTGTAGCAGATGATAATGATGATGCTGTTGTTGTTGTTGTTGTTTTTGTTGCTGATAAAGTATGAAAAAAATTAACTAAATAAAATATTAACAATAACTAATAATTATTCTAGTTATAATATAAAAAAAGCTGTTTATTTACCAAGACTTGTGGCAGCTGCTGCCATTGACAATGATGGTGTTGGGCTATATATAATCAAAAAATCTATGATTTCATAATACATAAGAAACTTTACAATAAAAAAAACTAAATTCTTTTATATGTTTAAATAAAACAATATGTTTACATAATATGGTGATGTGTATACCACCACCATATGTATGCATAAATCAATTATTTTTTGGAAAGAACCAAGTTATAAATTTATAAAGTAAAAGATATTTTCATACAGGATTGCTCCTCCATCTTCTTTAAAAAATTATTAACTAAAGAGAAAAAACAATTTTATTAACATTTTCTATGTAAAGTGATATTTTAAAAAATTAAATAAAACATGAGTATTACAGTAACAAATAAAAAGTTTAATAATCAATACAATCTAAAATCTTACACATTTCTTCCATAGATTGCACTAAAATAACATGAGCTATTGATTATGACACAATCAAAAATAATTCAATCAAATTATAAACTTAATCAGTAATAAATTTAAAAAAAATTTAAAAAAGCAAAACTTACGAAACATTTGTTGAAAGTTCACTACAAAAAAAAAAAATACTTATACTAATACATTTTATGTCTTTAAAAATTTAAAACAATAAATTTTAAGTAAATAGAAAACTAACTGTTATTAACAAAACATTGAATAAAAAATTGAGTTTTTTTACCTGATTGTGGTTGTTGTTGTACTAAAAAAATTAATACAGATTTTAAAAAAATACAATAGTAAAGAAAAAGAAAAAACGAATTATTAGGAACTTTTTAAAAAAAGATTTACATTCAATAAAACAAAAGGTTTTTTCTTACCATATTGTAATTGTTGTGTTTCTAGTTAAAATATAATAAAAAGATAAAAAGTAATAATTAAGTATTAGAAAAACAATTTAATATCAACAGCACAACAAATAAAAATAGGTTTTTTATAAAAAAAAGAATATTGAAAAACGTATAAAATTAATTTCTTACCAGGTTGTTGTTGCACAACAAATTAAAAAATGTGTAGTATTAAAAAATAAACACGCATAATTTTTTTTTTTAATAGAAATCTTTTTTTAAATTTTTTTAAAAAAAGACTTTAAATACATCGAAATTTTTTTTTTTTACCTGATTGTAGTTGTTGTTGCGGTTCTAGAAAAAATATAAATACAGATTAAAAAAAAGACATTAGTAAAAAAAAGAAAACGACAAAATATTAGGAAATTTTGAAAAAAAAGATATAAATAAATTGAAACAAAAGGTTTCCTTCTTACCAGAATGTGGTTGTTGTTGAGCATCTGCTTAAAAAAAAAACAGATTAAATAATTAAGTAAAAGAGAAAAAATATTATCAATGGCAAAACAAATACAAAATAGGTTTTTTGTAGGTTTAAGGGGCTATAAAAAAGTATATAAAAAATTCTTACTTTGTTGTGGTTGCACCACTAAATAAAAATATGTTCATTATTAAAAACAAAAAAAAATACAGACAACTTAAAAAAATGTGGTTTAACTAAAAGCAAAGAGTAAAGTATATAGAAAGCAAATAAACGAAAAAACTTAACAAATAAATAAAAACAAAATTGGCGACTTAATGAACAAATAAAGACGACTAAAATTGAATAACTGAACAAATAAAATAATAGCGACTTACTAAACATTAAATCGTCATCTAAAGCTTCTAAAAATTTAAAAAGAGGTCAATAAGCAATTTAAAAAAAAATTAACTAAAGAAAAAATAAAAAAACAAATGATACCTGACATGATTTAGTTTTTATTTTCAAATTTATTAATCTGAAATAAAAAATCAAACAATGTAACAATCTAAAAATAATATTATGATAATGTTACTATCAATGTAATAAATCTAAATCCAAAAGTCAAGGATTAAAGAGATGTAAGAAAAAATTTGTAAAAAATTCTTTTTTTAAGCCTTAAATTTTATCTTTTTTTAAGTATTTAACTAAGCATTTAACTAAGCCTCGTGGTGATTAAAACCGCGTGGAAGAAAAACTCGATAGGTATTTTGTTTAAAAAACCAAGGTTGGCACTTTGTACCACAGCGATTTATCATATACAAAAAAGCTGAATTTCTGTTTATTTTCTCAAAAAGACTTGGAATATGTCAAGAAGGTTGGAAACTAAGTGTTAAAAGACTTCACGAAAAAACAAAATTTTGAAATTTGTGAACGACTTTCTTTTTCTCGTTAGCGAAGTTGGTTCTGTGTCAAAATGCGAGGATCAAACTTTTGATTAATATCTTTACATATGTTGTCTATATACAATATCTATAAAACTTTATAAGTATTTAAATTTGTATTTAAAAAAGTCTAAAAAATAAATTAAAGCAGTAGTCGGCAACGGTAGGACTCGAACCACGGCAGCTATGTTCCGAAGCCCAGCGCGCTAATCACTCGACTACGCTGACGCACTAAGAAATAAAGATTCAAAATTATATAAAAATTGTTTCTAACGGATATAAATGCAAAAGATTAGAAATCGGTATTATGCTAATATTAAATAGTTTAACTTTTAATTATTTTTAGAAACAATAAATTTTATAAAATAATTTAGTGATCATACAAAATTAAAATCTTTAATTATGTTCTAAATAAAAATATACTTTTTAAGCCCCCTTACCATTTTTTAGAAAAAGTTATGGTCGCCGCGTGGCAAGTTCATCAGCTTGGCACGCGGTTTTGTTGTTTAAAATGCAAATCAAAAGTTATATAGATTTTATATTCTATATATAAACATGTTTTTTACTAATTTTCCTTGCTCAATTTAGTTGTAAATAAACTTGAAAAGTTTAACTAAAATAACATGAGTATCTAAATAATGACACATGCGCAAAAAAAATAAAAAAAAAGGTCGCCGATGGTAGGACTTGAACCACGGCTGACTTGGTTAAAAGCCCAGCGCGCTAACCACTCTACTACGCCGTCACGTAGTGTCTTGAAGATTTCAAATTATATAAAAATTGTTGACTTAAGTGAAAATCAAAGTGTAGAACTTGATATATGTTTAAGCATGTTTTGACATTACATAACATGAAGGTAGGTACGTACGATATAAGTTTCACGTTTGCTCACGTTTTCTTATAAAGCAAAGGTGAGACTCTTTCTCGTCACTACCTCGGACGCAATGGTTGTCAAGAGTATCGTGTCAAAAAGGCTCGAAAGCGCACTACTACTATTAAGTTCAGTATTATTAAAGATATATATATATATATATATATATATATATCTTCTAAATTATTTTTAAATTGTCAGGAAAAATTTTAAATTGAGTAGGTATAACGTTATTTCTGAGTCGAGCAATCTATTAATGTTTATGAAATGATCTGAGCACTTGATTTACTTTGTTGCCAATTATCGCGACGCATTTTTATATTCCATTTCTTTTTACGCTCATGATTTAAAGGAAACGTAAAAAATAAATATATTTATCAAAAATATGTAAATATTTATGTTAATATGTTTTTATAAGATCAGTGTACTATAATAGTATAATTTTATAATACTGATGTACAACTACTACTATAAACTACTAGTAGTATTTACAAAACACATGAAAAGTCCTCGGTTATTTTTCTTTAGCACCAATTTCTTCATCTGAGCTTCTTGAGTTATTGCTTCTTATGCCCCCAGTTCTTTTCTTTCTTTTTTTTTTTGCATCCATAATGCTGAACCTCGAAGATTTTTTTTTTGTTCCACTCATATTTTTGTCTTTATATGTGAAATCAGAAATTACGTAATAATTTAAAGCCCAATCATAGTCTATTTTTTCCATAAGTTCCAGTAAAACTGGAACTTATGGAAAAAAATTCTGGAGCTTTTCAATATGGCGTCGTTTGGCTTCAAAAAGTGAGAAATTTTCTAGAAGATGCGCTATCCAGTTATTACAGTTATTATAGAGATCAGTGAATTACACTGACTTCAAATAGTTAAATAGGTTATTTATGGGTAACATTTTTTTTTGTTTCTTCAAATTAGTCCAAAGCCCTTGAAGGAATATTTATTTATATATTTTTTGTTTTCGTTTTGTTATTTTATATTTTTATTTTGTTACTTTACTTTTATAATTTTATTTTGTTTTTTATTTCTATTTTATTTTTTATGAGACTCAGTTGTCAGATTTTAAGAAAAGTCATTCTTGGATGTGATTCGATACTTTTGACAACTCTGAATTCGAAGCTTTGAAACGTTGTAAAACAAAATTTGTTTTACAACGTTTCTAATTAAATTCAACAAGTATATTTACAAGTATCTAATTAAATTCAATTAATTTGAATTTAATTAGATACTTGCATACACGTTCGTTTATGTTTTCTTATAAAACAAAGTGCTGCAAAATTTTCCCGCCACTACATCGGTTGCAATAGCTGCTAAGGGTTCCATGTAACGTTCGAATAAGCATTACCTTTATTACTACTACTACTACTACTACTACTACTACTACTACTACTACTACTACTACTACTACTACTGCTGCTGCTACTACTACTATAACCGTTGCGGATGAGCCCTCGCGTTGCGAAATTCGAAATAGAGACAAGAGGTTAGTAAAAACGATATTTCTGACAATTTTTTTTTGTAAATGCTGCAAAATTAATTCAATTTTTATTTTAAACAATTTTTCCAACTTGAATTATTAGTCCGCTCGTAAAAATAACTTTTTTATTACGTGTTTTTTCAACTTGCGTAGTATGAGGGCAAAACAATATTCCCCTCTCTGTGAATTAACTTCGCTAACAAACAACAATTGTTTCTTAAAAAAAATTCCCTCTAAAAATATCATAGTTCCATTAGTTTTTATATTTTCATATTAAATTTTTATACTACTCGTAATTTTTTTCCCAGCGTATTAACCTAATTGAAGTTACAGAAATGTGTTTAATCGGGTATGTTTTATGAAAACTTCTCAATAGTGTATGAACAAACAGAGAAATTGATGTACTTTCTGTTTCCGCATTTACGCGCACAAATAGTTAAATTTTTTAATGAATTTTTCAAATTCTGTTTTATTCTTAAATAAATTAACTAAGGTATATATATATATATATATATATATATATATATATATATATATATATATATATATATATATATATATATATATATAATTTGAATTTTTTAAATTCAAATTATATATATAATTGAAATATATTGCATTACAATTGTGACGTACTAATTTTCTTTGGAAGTTTTTAGCTCTTTTAGATTTATGGTTTTTTCTAATTGCAATTTGCTTTAATTTTGATAAATGACTTCAGACAATCTTGAAACACCTTTCAGCATTTATTAAATATTTACTCTGTTGCTATTAAACTCTTATACTCTTTATTTCTCTTGCCTTTGACTCATCCAATTATGTCTTTTAGACATGAGATGCTTCTTTCGTTCTACCATAATTATGTAAACTAGGTTTTTGTTATTAAATATTAATAATATCCTAATTATGTAAACTAGGTTTTTGTTATTAAATATTTTATAATCAAAAACCATCTTGCAAAAAACAGGACAAGATAATTTTCGGCGACTATTAGAGGGTTCATTTATTAACTAGCAGTAAGCAACTGGTAATAAGGATTATCTGCAAATAAATCAATAATAACAATTAAATTGATTTATTATCTGAGAAATATAATAAAATACAAGTTTTAGTTAACAACATAAACACTACATTTCATACAATCAATTATTAAATCAGTAGAATGTAAAAGTTTATTTAAAAAAACAACAACCATTAAATACCTAAGAACTTAGTAATAACATAAAGAGTTCCGTTAATGATCACTTTATTGATAAACCCTCAATAAAAAGAGAAAGAAACAGACAGCGTCTTCAATGGCACTGCTACTTTAAAAAAAAGTTGAATAGCATACAACAAAATATTACGATTTATTAAAGAACTTATTATTACCATAACAAAAATAATTTGACAATGA